CTTCCGACCCTAAATCTATGAATCTATGAATCTATGAAAAACAAAACTGTTTTCAGTAGTAGACCAAGATTTTACCCAATAGCTCCAACTGCCAGCCAAAGTCTAGCTCTGCTTTTTCTAGGTCACATAGTAAAGTTTCTGCATTCAGCACTTAGTTAATCATTCTGCTGATGTTGTATGAAGCACAATAAAATCCACCTCATTCTCCTACAGCCATGCTAGCTCTGTAATTGTTAGAGAAAGAAAAAAAAAAGAAACCTCATCTTCAGATATGATGAAGAATATACCTAAGCAGCAGCTATATTGAAAAGATGCCCTTTTTACACAAAAAACTTTTCTGAGTGAAATCTTACTTTATGGCTGAAAGCCTCATTCCATTCTAAGCTTTGTTTCTTAAATTGTTAAAATAACCCAATCCAGTTTGAAAATTACTATATTTACTTTAAAGGCAGGGACATCATTCAAATTTGAACAAAACACAGGGCTCCAAAAGTTTCTAATTTTTTGTACATTTATTTTAAATTATGAATTGATAGACAACAAACAACAACAAAATGCACAAGAGAAAAATCTTAGCTGTTTGCAGCTTCTCATGAAATTATCCATCCATGGGAACAATTAATAGTTATGGTGCACAGGCAGGTCTAAAAATAAAGACGTTATTAGGTTTTATTGCAGAATCACTAGGCATGTATTTGGATATGGATCAGGGAGTGAGAGGAGGATAACTGAATGCCCCTCAGTGATCTTATGGACGCGATCTTGAATTAGAAGTACTGCATTTTTGCATCCCACATTATGATACACTATTTAATAATTATATGCTGTTCCTTCATATTTATGCTAACAACACCAAGATGTGGGATGAGGTGGGCACGCTGGAGGGGAGGGACAGAACCCAGCTAGATTTAGACAGGTTACTGAGGTGTGTGGATAAGAATAGGATGGAATTCAACACAGACAAGTGCAAGGTGCCGCATCTAGGGAGAAGGAACCGGAAACACACCTATCGGCTGCGGAACACCCTTCTTGTCAACACAGTGGCAGCAAGGGATCTTGGAGTCGTTGTTGACTCCAGGATGAACATGAGCCACCAATGCAAGGAAGCAGTCAGTAAGACTAACCGCACCTTGTCATGCATCTACAGACAAACAGGTCCAGGGAGGTGATCCTTCCCCTCTATGTGGCATTGGTCAGGCTGCAGTTGGAATACTGTGTCCAGTTCTGGGTGCTGCACTTCAAGAGGGATGTGGCTAGCATTGAGAGGGACCAGAGAACGGCCACTCACATAGTCAAGGGGCAGCGGGTCAGGTCCTATGAAGAAAGGCTAAAGGGCCTGAATCTATTCAGCCTTCACAAGAGAAGGCTGAGAGGCAATCTGGTGGTCATTTACAAACTCACTAAGGGGACCAGCGGAAATTGGGTGAGGCTCCCCCGGGCACCACCGGGGGGGTTACTAGGAATAACCGCCACAAATTATTAGGGAGAAGGTTCAGGCTGGACATCAGGAGGTATTACTTTATGGTTAGGGCTGCCAGACTTTGAAATGGACTCCCAAGGGAGGTGGTGCTCTCTCCTACCTTGGGGGTCTTCAAGAGGAGGCTGGATAGATATTTGGCTAGGGTGTTATGACCCCAGCCCTTGTTCCTGCCTGGGGCAGGGGGTCA